AGCAATCCTCCCATCTCATCCTCCCAAGTAGTTGGGATTACAGGCACACACTACCACACCCTGCTAAGTTTTATATTTTTAGTAGAAATGAGGTTGCCCAGGCTGGTCTCAAACTCCTGAGCTCAAGTGATCTGCCCGCCTCAGCCTCTTCAAGTGCTGGGATTACAGGCTTGAGCCACTGCATCCAGCCTTGTTCTGGTTTTTTGAAAGCATATGTAGCTTCCAGCAGGTAAGCAAAGCCCAGTCCAGAGTCAGCAACTAATCCTGTCAGGACAATTTGTAATGCCCCCAGGGCTACCAGCATGAGTCTCACTTGCCAGCTATGACCAGGACCTTGCACCACGTGATCTGCACCATAGTCACAGGCAGATTGTCTCTTTTGCTGACAAACAGAACACGTCTTCCTGGCACTATGTGCCTGAGAGGGTACAAGAGGAATGTGTTGATGAAAATAGTCAAACTCAGCAGCGCACAGCGGCTCACACCTATAATCCCAGCACTTGGGGAGGTTGAGGTGGGCAGATCATCTGAGGTCAGGAGTTCAAGACCATCCTGGCAAACATGGTGAAATCCTGTCTCTACTAAAAATGCAAAACTTGCCAAGCACAGTGGCTCACGCCTGTAATCCAAGCACTTTGGGAGGCTGAGGCGGGCAGATCGCAAGGTCAAGAGATCGAGACCATCCTGACCAACATGGTGAAACCCTGTTTCTACTAAGAATACAAAAAAATTTAGCTGGGTGTGGTAGCGGCAGATCATGATGTCTGTAGCTGCCTGTAGTCCCAGCTATGTAGGAGGTTGAGGCTGGAGAATCGTTTGAATCCAGGAGGCAGAGGTTGCAGTGAGCCAAGATTGCAACACAGCACTCCAGTCTGGGTGACAGAGTGAGACTCCGTGTCAAAAAAAAATTTAGCCAGGAGAGGTGGCATGCACCTGTAGTCCCAGCTACCCAGTAGCCTGAGGCAGGAGAATCGCTTAAACCTGGGAGGCGGAGGTTGCAGTGAGCCGAGATCTTACCACTGCACTCCAGCCTGGGTGACAGAGCGAGACTCTGTTGGATGGACCACTTGAAGTCAGGAGTTCGAGACCAGCCTGGCCAACCTGGTGAACACGGTCTCTACTAAAAACACACACACACACAAAAAGCTGGGTGTGGTGGTGGGCGCAGCTACTTGGCAGGCTGAGGCAGGAGAATTGCTTGAACCTGGGAGGCAGAGATTGCAGTGAGCCGAAATCATGCTGAGATGGGATTGTTCCCTTGATCCCCTTCATGGTTGAGAGCTACAGTGGCTGCTTTCACTCAGCCTGCCATTGGCCACTCCTCTCAAAAGGGAGCATGAGAGAAAGCAGTTGCAGGAACCAGAGGGAACAAGCCAGCAGTCACTCCTCTCTGGCGGGAGCAGGCTCTGTGTGGGGTCCACAGCAGTGTCCAAGCCTCTGCCCTCTTGGCACCCAGGTTCTTGTCTGGCGTCCAGGAAGAATCAGATTACACAAACAGATTGAAGGGCACTGTATGCCAATAATTTTATTGGGTGATGGCTCTTAGCGGGATGAGAGTTGGAAAGGGGATGGTGTGGGAAGGTGATCTTTCCCTGGAGTTGCAGCGTTTGAAGTTAGCTGCCTCTATCTGTAGTGTCCACAAGCAGTTGCTGCTTCTCTGCTCGTTGCTCAGCAGCTTGTATCCCTGACCATCAGCCCCTGGGAGAGGCCTCACAGATACAGGGTCATATCTATGATGGGATACCCGCTTTACCAGGCAGGCAACAGAGCAAGACTCTGTCTCAAAAAATAAAAATTAAAACAACAAAAAAAGAAGTCGTTGAAGGCAGCCAGGTGTGGTGGTACTCGCCTGTAGTCCCAGTTATTGGGAGGCTGAGGCAAGGGGAATCACTTGAGTACAGGAGTTTGAGGCTGCAGTGAGTTATGATTCCACCACTGCACTCCAGCCTTGGTGACAGACTGAGACCTTGTTGCTAAAAAAAATTAAGGCCAGGCACAATGGCTCATGCCTGTAGTCCCAGTATTTTTTTTTTTTTTTT